ACGCAATGCGAGAAGACCTGCTCTGGTGGTGGCTTATTCTGCACAGCCCTCAGCTAAACGGTGTATCTCTGGAATACTTCAACGCTCTCCCACCCCCGGATGTTGTGGTCGAAATGGACGCGTCGGATGTCGGGCTGTGTGCGCTTGACGTATTGGCGAAGACTGCGCTCACCTACGCATTTACCCCATCCGAGCTATCGCTGATAGCGGAATTCAAAATGGGAGCGGCCAACGGCTTTGACATCAATTTCCGCGAGCTCCTCTCGTGTGCCTTCGCGGTGCACGCATGGGAAGAACGATGGTCCGCGAGCAGCCCCATCGGCAACAGACCGCGGCACGTGCACTTCCGTATCGACAATTCATCCGCTGTCGCATGGCAAAACAAGCTGGCCTCACGCAACCCCAGGGCTCAAGTGATGATCCGCCTGCTTAGCTGGTGGGAAGCATCATATCGGCTTCGGTTTTCAGCGTCTCACGTCACTGGAACAGATAATACGCGCGCCGATGCCGGCTCCCGTATCCCGCTAACCCATCTTTTGCAGCTGTGTTTGCTTCGCTAACACATGGATGGTCGCAGGTGGCCCCGAAGACGGACATTGAAGGCCTAGCCAGTATCTGGCAGCATATCTCCGCGCGCACTCCGTTGCCGACTCCACGTTTGATCAATACAATCAAGCCTTCAACAAGTGGAAAAGGTGGACTTCGCGACGAGGACTTTCTCCCTGGCTTCATGGCATGACTCTCACTGATATGGTGAAGCACATATCGGATTTCGTTTTACATGGATTTCAGTTTGGCTTTGGATCCGGCGGTCCCATCCGTAGCGCCTCCATCATGGCGGTGCTCCATGGCGTTCGCCATTTCTTTTCCGCCTCCGGATGTGAGGTCCCGATTGAACACCCGCACATCCGCATGCTTCTCAAAGGAATTAGCCGTATCGACACGCCCCGACGCCACAAGGCACCCGTGTCAATCCACCTCTTAGAAGCATGCTTTCGAGGCCTGGCCATGGAACATCCCCGTGGCCAAGCCCTGTGGGGGGTAGTGTGCTTGGCATTCTTCTTTCTTCTGAGACGATCAGAGATCGTAGCCATCCAAGGTGGATCCTTCAAGTGGTTCGCTCTAAGAGCGCAAGACATCGTGGTTGTGGATACCGCTGGGTAGCCACATCAGTGTCCGTCACAGGCTCAGGCTGTTTGGATTCACCTGATCGGGTCCAAGACCAATCAAGGTGGGGCTCCAACGACTAGGATGCTAACTCGCTCTGGTCACCAGTTTCTGTGCCCCGTGTTCGGAGCCCTCATCCTCCATCAAGCAAGGAGGAATCTCCCTGCAAGCATCCCAGCCGCCGTGTACATCTCACGCTCGGGACAACCAGCCTGCGTATCGACCGAAGATGTGTCCGAAGCCATCAAAGGCGCTGCCGCTCGCACTGGCGAAGATCCCCGCCGGTTCAGCTCTCATTCTCTACGCGCCGGGGGAGCCACGCACATGTACCGATCTGGCACGGATGCACTTACAATCCAGTTACACGGCCGCTGGGTTTCCGACGCGTACAAGACCTACACCAGGATCTGCAAGGAGTCCGTCACCACGCTTTCAGCGAACATGGTGGCAGGCCCACCGGGGGATTCGACGCTACATTAGTGGAGCCTCTATGCATGACCACTTAAGGGGGCACCGCTCTCCTCGTCCCTTTTCGGATCGAGCTGATGGTCATTGCATAAGCTCTCATTAATGTATTTGTTCGTTTGACCCCCAAGGATTGTGGAAAGGTGTATTCCATAGCGAAGCAGAACGAAGCAAGGGTATTGTGTTTTCCACACCAGTTTTTTAGTACCGGTATACCGAAACGGTACCGGTATACACTGCTCCTGCTGACCACACGTGGCGAGCTCTCTCACTAGCAAGCAGTCAAGAAATACCCGCCTCTCCTCGTCCCTTTTCGGATCGAGCTGATGGTCATTGCATAAGCTCTCATTAATGTATTTGTTCGTTTGACCCCCAAAGATTGTGGAAAGTCGATTTTGTGTGAGATGAGGTGGTTAAAAGAGAGTCTGGTTGCCGCTCTCTCCAAAATTGAGGCAACAAGAATGGGTACAGTAAAAATATTATTACTGAGCTGGAAAAGTGGGCAATTGGAGCGGGCACTGTAACCACTAACAGTTTAAATGCTGCAATTACGAAGTGTCTACAAGATTGTGGCATTGACGATCTCATACAGAGGCTAAAAGCACCACCAGAACCTCGTACCGGCACAGTTGACACAGACTTTGAGCGTACACTTGCTCATTTTTGGGGTGGAAAGTTTCGTCGCGCTGCCGAACACTTTCAAATGTCTGACTGTTCTGTTCGCCATGCTTGGGTGCTGTGGAGATGCGGTGATAAATCGAAACAGCTGCCTCCATTTCGCTTGCTTAAAGGAAGAGATATGCCGAGTCGTAAGCTGCAAAACGACTGAGCGAGCTCCGGTGTGTAATGAGACATATAGAGAAAGATGATGCCTCGAAGGACACACAAAACAATGAACAGACTATCGAAGAGGCTACGCAAGTCTTCTTTGACTGTGCAGATAGCATCTCAGTCGACCAGACTACTGCTCATTCGCGGAAGCGACGCTGTGGTCAGCTGAGTTAAGCTACAGTTGGCAAACTGCTGCGTAAGAAGCACAAAGCGACTTAGTGCAATAGAAGCTTGATATTTCTCTGTACTTCGAGCCGCATCTAGCCCTCTAAAGTTAGGCTTATGCTTGCAGAACGATAGCTAGATATGACGTCAAAGTACTGTAAATCCCCTCTAAATTGATCGGGAACGTCCGACGAATTCCGTCTAAGAATCATTTAACAAGGCACTAAGTGTTAAATTTTAGCTTACATTAAATAATTCCTAATTTCACAATGTTGCGCAGCTAAATCAACTTGGATTTTAAATGTGCACAATCACATTCGGCCTCCCTAAGTATATCCGTTTTCCAGAAATACGCCTAATGCTAGAGATCAGAACGTGAAGACCCGTTGCTCTACATGTAGCCGTGACTTGATCTCAAATGAACATCACTACTATACATTCCTCGAATTCCTCACAGCCTCTAAAGCCTCACTTCAGTAAGCATGCAGTTCGAGCCGCCCACCAGACGTGACGGTCAACATGACTGATGGTGACAACAGCACTCAGGGTGTCGACGCTAATGGCATTATGACTGGTCGTTGGAAGACTGGGCTCTTCGGCTTCACAGACTCGATTGTGCCCAATGGTAACTATGTTTATCTTTGCAACCTAAAGCTTTGAATACCTATTGACAATTCTGGTTTTAATGTGTAGGTGTCATGTCTTGCTGCTGTCCTGGACTCGTGGTGGCTCAAATCTCGGCTCGTCTTGGCCTGATGCCGTTCTACCACGTGCTCGGCTTCTTCGGATGCCTCTACGTTTTGCATCTTATCGCGTTGCTCACTCACAGTTGCTTCTTCGACTTTCTCTCCTGGCTGTGCGCTGTTATCTCGGCGCTATGCGTTATGCGGTTGCGCTGGCAAATCCGAACGCTCTTTAGCATCCCCGGCTCGCACGCTGAGGACGCCGCTTTCAGCTTCTGCTGCGGCTGCTGCTCAGTCGGGCAGATGGCCTCGCAAGTCGAGTCGTACGAACCCGGCTTCTTTAACTTCGCACCGCGTGTCACACTCCCGGGCTACTCGCTGAGCTAGGTGCTCTACCGGTAGGATACCATCTTGAGGTGTCCTAGACACAACTGGAATTCCGCGATAAATTAATGAAATCAACACTTTATATTTACTGCATATCTATGAACTGTGAAGGTTCTTCTGGCATGGTCTCCGATATAAAATACTTGACCCAGGACGTATGATACAGACGGTCTCCCGCTACGCTTCGCGGCCATTGGCTTGTCCCCATTAATACGGTTCAGCAGGTTTGACGAGTGGAGATGCGGACCGGTTTCTTGTCGGCGGCGGGGTCTCGCTCGCTCTTGGCTCGGTTCTTCTTGCGGTCTTTCGACGCTGGCGTTGTGGGGGAAGAGCTCTTGTCCTTGGGGCTTACTACCATGACGGCTGCGTGCGGGGCGATGGTCGCAAAATGGTTGGCGAACATGGTGTTGAATGGAGTCACTTGCTGGCCAATTGGGGAATGAGACGACGCCTCCACAACTTCAAGAAAGCTTTTCGTGTGTCGGCTGGACTTTTTCACGTACAGTACAGTACTGTGAGTATCCACCCACTTCAAGTGCGAGCATCACGGCGGTGGCGTCAGATAAGTCGCGACTCACGGCGATGGCTGTCTTTGCAGCAAAGAGAATTAGAGGCTTGTGGAACAGCCAAGTCGATACGAAGGCGTCAGGACGGTATTCTCTATCGTGGAATTGCACGACGATCTTCGTCTAGCAGCATGATTGATCTCGCGTCATCTGTAGACATGGCTGGCATTACTGCTTCGCTTATGCGGCACGCGTTTACACGACAGCCACGTCGTTAGCGTTATCGCCTTTCGCCTGGAGCGTTCACTTCGTGTCGCCAACGGCTGAAGTGGGTTCACCGAGATTAAAAGTCGAGTAAAGCGACCAACAATGTTGGTCCAATAATGACTGGTGCTGGGCTAGAACAGGTTGAGCGGTGTCGCGTAGTATTAATACTTTTCATTTTGCACGCTATCGTGGGACAACAGAATCCTGGAGACTTGGTGCCGTAATACAACTGGGCAGCGTGCTCATGGCAAATCCATCGCGGATTTAAGTCGATTCCTGAGTAGCTTTGTGAAAATAACGCTGCTTCAGGTGCTGCGTGAGTACAAGAAGAATGTTTCTGTCAGCCGCTATGCTTGTTCTCAGATGGAGTAGTGCGGGACATTTACCGCAGGACGATGGCAAACTGGATACTCTCATTTCTTTACGAGGCGATCCCATGGACAGCTCACGTCTTCAGTTTCCACCCCATTGAATGGTCCATTCAGCAATTTACGCTCGGTTTTACAAGTCGCAAACTCCATCCAGCATCATGTTCGCCAACCATCTTGTGACCATCGCCCCGCATGCTGCCGTCATGGTCAGCCCTATCGACCGCGATAGCAAGACAGGGAGCTTCTTGACAACAAGTATCCATTCGTCTCAAGACGCAAAGAAGCGTCGTGCCAAGAGTGTAGACGTCAGCAACAACGGCAGCAAGAAAGAACTGGCTGAAATCCGCGGCAATCGTCATGAACGAACTGCACGAAAATCATCGAGTTGAAGCTAGTTCTGTACGATAATATAAATTTACATTTGGACAAACAAATGGGTTCTGCAGTGTAGTTGCCAATGTTTAGTCTGAAGATGTCGCTAGGATGGAGAATAAATAATTGTATTCAGATAGCTCCCAGACCTCGCTGCTCGTGGCGTCGCCAATTTGGCCTCGGTCGCCGAGACAAAGTGCATGTATACGCGACGCTAAATTCGTGCGGGATGTCTGAGCGTAATACATGCTGTGGGCCTTTCAACTCTTCTTGCAAATCCTTGACAGGATTTCACTCGAAGCAATCGTCGCATCAATGATAAGTTACAGCCCACCAAAAGGATGATGCAGAAGTTTCTCTTCCGGTTAGCAAACCTGCAATGGATTTGCTTTAGCATACCAAATATCCCGTGGTCATTATTAAATTTCATCGCTTCGGCTCAAGCAACTACTTCGGGTGAGCTAAAGCAAGCAAGTCTCCCCATGTTCGCCAATCACCTCGTGACCATCGCTCCGCACGCCTCCGTAGTCGTCAGTCCCTCCGATCGTCGCACAAAGTCGCGAAGTTCTTCAACATCCTTCCAGGACGCGAAAAGGCGTCGAGATGAGAGGAAAGAGGCCAACAAAAACAATCCCGTCAATCCTCTTGAAAAAATAAATTACAGGAGCTCTTCATGTATCAAACCCCAAATAGATCTATCATTTCATTACGTTTATCTTCTTTTTTCTGAATCAAAGTTGCATCTCCATCAGTCAGATGCAAAAATCTTCACTTTGTCAATATCCCTCCGTCGACAGCACTATGGGCGACAAGTACGACCGCCAGCTGCGTCTGTGGGGCGCCGAGGGCCAGCGACGACTGGCCAACACGCATGTGCTGCTCATTGGTTCCTGCGCCACTGGCTCTGAGGCTTTAAAGAACCTGGTACTGCCCGGTGTCGGCCGATTTTCAATCCTGGACGACGCCAAAGTGTCCCTGGCCGATGCGACCAACAATTTCTTCGTGACAGCGGACGCTGTGGGCCAATCGAGAGCCAATACGGTGGCCAAGTTGCTGCTGGAGATGAACGCAGACGTGGCCGGCGATGGCCGCCACGCCAACGTGAAGCAGGTGCTGCAAAGCGAACCCGAGTACTTGGATCAGTTCAACCTGGTGCTGGCCACGCAGCTGGATGAGGCGGCCACGACCAAATTGGCCGAGTTGTGTATGGCCAAGAGGATTCCACTGCTGTTAATAACGTCTTACGGGTTTCTAGGTTCGTTGAGACTGCAAGTGGCCCAACACGCTATCGCCGACGCCAAACTGGATCCGCCGCGCCACGAGCTGAGACTGTCGACGCCGTTCCCGACGCTGCAGAAGTTTGCAGATAGCTTCGACTTAAAGTCGTTGTCCACTATCGAACACGCACACGTTCCCTTTGTGGTGCTGCTGCTGCAGGCCATGAAGAAGTGGAAAGAAGCCCATAATGGCAAACCGCCGGCCACGTTTCCAGAGAAGGATGCGTTCAAAAGAAGTTTACAGGAGATGGCGTGGGGCCCGACTGGCCATGAACTTAACTTTATTGAAGCAGCAGAGAACGCGTATAAAGCTTACGTACCGCCTCAAATACCCGAGGAAGTTGCTCCCGTGCTGGCGGCCGCAGCGGCCCACACCGTCTCAGTCGAGACACTAGAAAAGACGAAAGATACTAAAGAGTTCTGGCTGCTGGCCCACGCGTTGGCAGATTTTGTTAAGCACAACAATGGTCTGTTGCCTGTCACGGGAGTCGTGCCGGACATGACAGCCTCGACCGAGTCGTATGTGGCTCTACAGGAACTGTACGTGACCAAGGCCAAGCAGGATGCGACCAAGGTACATGAAATTCTTTGTCAAAAATTGCGCGGCCTGAAGTTGGCCGAGGACAGTATTTCGTTCAATGCAGTGGCCGCATTCTGCAAGAACGCCCCGAGTGTCGGCATGCTAGAAACACGCACTGTCGCCCAGGAATACAAACACGTGGACTTGTCGAGTGTGGACTTAGAGGACGAGGACAAGGAAATGTCGCCCTTAATCTGGTACTTTATGCTTCGTGCTGTGGCCGCCTTCGCATCCGAGTTCAATCGCTATCCCGGATCGGAAGATACTGGGGCCACGCAGGACGGCACGTGGCTAGTGTCGAAGGCTAAGAAACTGGCGGCCGGCAGCGACGTGGCCGACTGGATTACCAGCGATCACGCACTCGAGATGAATCGATCTTGCCAGGCCGAGTTGCACAACATCGCTGCTTTAATGGGCGGCGTGGCCGCACAGGAGGCCGTCAAGCTCATCACGCACCAGTTCGAGCCGCTCAACCACACGTACCTGTTCAACGGCATCTCTGGCGTGGCTGCAACATACCAGCTCTAAATTGAACTTCTGGCTCAAGTTTTTTTTATCTGTACCTTGATGTTATCCAACAAGCAAGGCGTAATATTGATACTGACGCATGTTCTTGGTACCCTGGGTTGTGTATACATAGCGAAATCCCATGGCCGTCCTGCATTGAGTTGATTGTGGCGCGACCTAAGCAACGAGATACCCGGCCACGCACCTGCTTTATCGTGTTTGGCCGTTGTTTTTCTTTGCTGACGATACGTGTCGAGTCTGGCGGCTTCTTGTTGCTGGGCCAATTCGTTCCTCTGCTGTTCGTTGCTCCTGTGGGTTTGGCCGGTCCAGTTGTTGCCGCTCCTGGACACATCGGGAGCAGAAACACTTGAACTTGTACTCTCTCAAGTTACTCTCGCGCATTTGCACGTCCATGTCGACATCGATGTAGCAGATGCACAGCTCCTCGCCCTTTTCGATATCTCGGATTGCTACGACGTGGCCGTCGCCGTTCTTTGTATACATGACCGTGCAGTTGGGGTCGCAACTGTGGTTCATTGTGCAGATAATCGGGAACAGCGCCGTGCCCTCAATACGAGGATAGCCAAGCCACATCAAGGCGTCGGCGTCTCGTTCCTCGTCGCCAGCCTGTTCGGCTTGCAGACGATGTTTCTCCCACTCCAGCACACTTCGTACACTACCGAGAAGCGCTTGGTCCTCCGTTGTAAGTTGTGGCTGTAATCTCGGACTAATCTGTCCGTCACTGTGCTCCGGATCGCCTGCTGCCAAGTCGCTTTGCACATCTGGGTCCAGGATATCGATGAAGGCGTGGAACGGATGATCCACCTCCATACTGATGTTATTCATCTCGAAAAGACCGATCTGGGCCGTGAAGAACTCGAAACTTAGCACACTGGAACAGCAGCGCCAGATTTCCTCCACAGTCACGCCTCGAAGCTGGCCTTCCCGTTCCAGACGCACGAGATTGCACTCCAGTGCATCGATCAACAGCTGGTGCGTCATAGTCATCACTTCCTGTAAACACTGCGCCTTGGAGGACCCACTCGTCCAGTGTGCGTGCTCCTCTTCCGTCTGCTGTGTAGGACGACCGTCGTTTGCTTCCGCTTTCTCTTCTTCGTCGATATCTTTGACATCGCTGGGCGACCTGTCCTCGTTATTGCTACTCACTCCGCTGTCGTTACTTGTATGGTCACTGCCACTCTCTCCGTTGCTCGGTAGTGCGACAAAGTCGTCGTGTTCTACCTCCACCACTTCCCACCACGGTTTCTTGAAGAACATATCGATGGGTTCACGAGCCTTGACGATATCTCGCCACACTATATATCGTGACAGTACGCGGGCGATGACCTTTGCAGCGAGTAGGAAAATGTCGTTTGTGTGCAGTGTGTGCTTAAGGAACTCGCCCATGGCCGAGCATGGATCGTTTCGAGGACACAGGATGGCATGGTATTCGTGAAAGGCGCGCATACGACACAGTTTGGAGCAGTACAGCTCACCGCACGAGCATTTGGCCCCCGGGCCGGCCATGCCGCAACTCTGTGGCGTGATGCGGAGCAGCTTCAGCACCTTCTCGAGTGCGTCATCATCTACCACGCCAGACGAGCGGCCTTGCTTGGCCGGATCTTGTTGCTGTCTGACTGGACCGGCCGGTTTTGCTGTCGCTTTAGCGGACACTTGTGTGTTGTAGCGCGTGACGATGTCGCGCCACTGATCCTGGGCGTCGTCAAGCAGCGGCAGGTAGCAGAACTGGCAGCATGGTAGCAGGCCGCGGTTGATCTCGTGCTGCATGGCCACGAGGGGCGACTCAGTCCAGATGCGAGTGGCCTTAGGCAGGTCTCGATCGGCGTAGATAGCCTTGCCCTTGACGGGTCCGGCGTCGCCACAGACGATAGGAGCCTTGGCCTTGCTGATTACGACTTGAAAGTACGTGCTGGCCACGGGGTCGGCCGGGCCGTAGGGCGCAGCCACGCTTGAATATCGGTTCACTGGGCACACTCGGAGGTTAGAATGGTGGCCAAGGATGTGGCCGGCCAGAAGAAGATCGGACAACTTACAGTCGGGCCGGGCCGCGCGCAGGCCGCTACTTTTGGCGCTACTGAGCGCCGAAGACTTCAACGCCTTCCACGGCCGTGTCTCCATGTCCACATCCGCGGCCTCGTTCATCGCTCTTGAGGCCGAGGAATCACTCCCGCGGCAGGAGTCAGCGGCTTTACAAGAAAAGTGGCCAAGCGTCTCACCCGCCCGAGCTTCGTGCCAAATGCCAAATACAGTACCAGTAGAGCTCTGGAACTTCCAGTGGAAGGTCTCCGAATTCGGAGCGAGAGATGGAAAGTCGGACAAAAGTCTACACTCACATTCGAGAATTCAAAATGTCGCGTGTATGACTTAAATATACCACTCTAAAAATCAGATTTTCGATGATTAGGGCTCTCCGCAACTTAGGGCGCTCCGCTTCCATAACATAAAATCTCCGACCTCCGACAACCTCCGACCTGTACATAAATGGCGCCACATCTAAGTCAGTAACTCTTAAAACAAATATATTAAGTTTTCTTTTTTAACTGTGGGCCACATTGAAAATGTATTCACAAAAAAAAGGAGGGCGGTCTCGGGGCGGTAGCAGAGCGGTGGCAGGGCGGTCTCAGTGCGGTGGCAGTGCGGATGGCAGTGCGGCAGGGCGGTGGCAGTGCGGTGGAAGGGCGATGGAGTGGTGACGTAGGGTTCGTCACGGGGGGATTGTTCTCCATGTGTCGATCGCTTCTAAGAGTAGGAGCCATTTAAATGTAAATACACTTAAATGTCAACTTTAGGAAACTAATCAGGAAGTAACGTAAACACGTAAGTGCCGGGCAAAAGGCCGCGACAGGACTGCGGTGGCTGGCGAGGCTGCTCTTCTCTGCTGCTCTCTGGTGAGCGGCAGGCGTCAAAACGCAAAGTGTGGAGCAGCCTCCGCCAGAACACCACTGTACCGCAAAAGTAGATTAGTATACAAATAGCAAATAAGTCAATACTAAACTCTAGATAAATGCACTCTCGTTTGAGTACACCATCTTGTCAGCGCACAGCCAACGATGTCCTTGTGCATACAGTCCTTGGTATAGTCCTTCGCCATTGCACGCATGTGTACTCAGTGTAGCCGGTTGTAGTGCAGCCGCATGAGTGTCCTTGGGATGTGTAACGGGGTACGTAGCACTAAGTGTACCCTGGTTACATGAAGTGTGACACTTCACACTTCAGGAGTATGACATGTCATACTCCGGGATATTTGGTACAAGGTACCAAGGTCATTCAAAACCAACCATTGGTTAAATGACATTGCATTTCTATAGGTAACTGATAGTTTGTATTAACCTCAAACTTAACCTACCTATAAATATACTCAGTTTACAATCTACCTTATTTAGGTCACTTCGCTCTCTTTAATTGAAGAGGGGACCTGTGAACTGCCGTTCACTGAGAGTTTGTATACTCTCGGAAGATAACTTCCTCTAGCGCAAGGTGCTGTGTGACCCCGTCACACTTGGTAGCACTTGTAGTCAATCCACGCCATCGCGGGTAGACTACCTGAACCTCCGAAGTTCGTTGCCATGGATAGGAACGACTTCTCCCATATGAACGACTCTCAGTTCGAGTCGGTTCGGAAGATGGCAGGCATCTTCGGGATGGAGGCCCTGCAGAGCCTGGTGGTATCAACACCGGCTGAGCAGCTCGAGCGCGTCAATGCATTCGACGCGTACGAGCAGGGCCTCATCGCGCATGTGCGGGAGAACCTGCAGGCTCCGGCGGCGGAAGCAAACCCGCCTCACCCGAAGCCAATACGGCTGAAGGTAAAGCCGTATGAAGGGAAGGAAGGCGAGAACCTTCACTTCTGGGTCCGAGAAGTAGAGCTCGCGATGGACGCGGCTCTGATCTCGACCGAGCAACTGCGTGTTGCTTTTGCACTCTCCAACCTTAGCGGTCGTGCTAAGAGTTGGGTGTACACTCGGGAAGCGACATCCCCTGGATGTTTCACATCCTGGGCTCAGCTGTGCGAACAGCTCCGAGCCGCGTTCCTCCCGGCGAACTACGAGTACCGCCAGCGTTCGCGCTTCCTCGCGTGTAAACAAGGAAGACGCGAGCTGCACGAGTATGTGCAAGAGATACGGGAGCTCACGGCGTCCCTAGTGGGAAACCCACTCAATGAACACATCAAGATGACTGTGTTCATGGACGGCCTTCGAGTGGGCCCCGCACGCACTCAGCTGTTCCGGGTGCAGGCAAGCACCCTTGAAGAGGCGATTCAAGTGGCTCTTCAAGAAGAATACAGCCATCGCCAGGCGCGTACGCCGGCCTCAGCGTGGCCTGGGAGTTCCTTGTCGGCTCCCGGTCGAACAAGCCCCAACGGACCAGTTCCCATGGAACTAGGTGGTATTTATTCTTTATTATTTTATAATCGAATTTGTTACGGTAATATTCAAAATATTTATTTAAAAATTTATTATGATTTAACTTATCGTGAATTTTTAATACATTTAATATTAATGCAAATATCTAGTATTAG